ATATAAAACACATAACGTGAATAGAAGTTGCATTGAAAATAGGGTAAGATGATATTTTGCATCCAACAACAAAATAAACCCTTACAATAAGCATTGTGATCATACCATCTCTTGTATCCAAGATGCCTCAAATAAATCATGAATAAAAACTTTACATGAGCATCAGCTTTTTTATTAAGTAAATTAATGTGCTGATGTCTTTACCTGCATTGGTAAAGAGTGGAGGTTAGGATCATCATCATCCTCAGAGTCACTGTTCACTTCTGGCTTGCTTGTGTTTTCTGACACGGGCAGCAGTGGAAGCAGCGTCTGCAGAGCTTGAAGGTACAGCAGGTGACCCTCCTCTGATAGTGAGTCTATCAACACACACACACATCATCACTGTACACTACACCCGATTCTGACTTTCTCTCTGTGAAGTGTTCATGTGTAGAAAGAGAAGATGCACAGTTCACACAGCTCCTAAACGTGGCACTTACTTAAGCAGTTCTCCCCTGCAGAAAGGAGAAAGTAAAAGAGCCACGGCGCCTGGCTCTGTGCTGCTGAAGAGGAGGAAATTGTGGTCTGAAGGGAGTTCAGGAAGGCCTCAAATGGAAATAGGAGACAGCGGTCGGATAGTGCCGGGATAAAAAAGTGAAATATCTGCTCGGTAAACGGTGCAGAGATGAACTCCTCGGTAAAAGCTGCAAACACAAACTGCCTACCAAACAAACAAACAAAAAAGAAAGTTGTCAGTGCACTGTGAAACGTTACCAAATGGAAACAAAAATCTGAACAATACACTGCTGATTAGCTAAACAGTTTTAACACTTCTCTGAATTTTTTTGTTTTGTTTTTTTAGTTCACAAGTCTGCCAATATTGTCTCTCCAAATAAAGCAGCTTTGTTTAGCCCAGTCACACATCGGCGGGTCAAGAGAGATAATTAACTGTTAGAATCAGTGTGTRGACAAGTTTCTCCCGCCTAGCATTTCTTCAAAAAAAGAAAGGAAGTCCTCCTGTCTTTTGTTATTAGGAATGTCTCAACCTGAGAGCAAACAGTCTGATTTTCTGCACTGCAGCAAACGGGCAAGTCTGGGGTCTTTTATGGCATTTTGTCAATGGTCTCTGAAACAATTACTGCTTCACCAATGACTAAAAAGGGACAAAGACTGCTGCAGTTTGTCTGATTAATTCAACGGATACGTTTAAAGATTTCACTGGAGACTAAAACATTTAGTATCTACGAGTACACACTTATCTTCAGTAGTGTTTATAGTAGATAGTGGGGGGTCTGCAGACATGGCTAGCTTGTGAGACAAAAATCTTCCACAAACACATCAAATAATTTAGTACGTCAGTACTTCCCCAACACTCACAAATATTGCCTAAATTATTAGATTATTTAGAAATAAAATGGGATTAAAACACAAATAAGATGTAATTAAGCAGTTAAGCTTTTAGATCTGATCCTAACACTTTTTCCAATCTCTTTCCTACACCTGGGTATTTTCTTTAGATGAGGGGTATTTTCTGTGTGTACCTTGCGCCTGTTGTGCAGGAGGAGTAAGTAAAGTGCAGAGGTTTGAGGATGTGCTCCAACAGTGTGCTTGCCAGAGGAATAGAGGGAGTGTCACTGTACTCCAGACTGCAGGGGAGTCTGTGATTCACAAGAATGTACAGCGACCTGTAGTATCCTGACAAAAGGCCAAAAAGAGAAGTTTGAATGGAATTTTCAGGTAAGTTAAGCAAAATGCAGAAAGACATGTTTGATGTTGTGATTATAAAACTTCAAGATGTGAAAGTTGAGCCCATCCCTCTTTAGGGCTCATAATGYGTCTTTAATAAAATCTTTGTGAGCAGACATAATGCTGAAAACTAAACAGATGCTGTATCAGAATAATTTTTAGCGGCCAAATACTCTAGAAAAAAGTTGAGAGTTATTGTTTTGTCTGAGCCACAGAGCTGTACAGAAACAAAAAAAATAAAATATTAAACATTTCTGTTTGCTCTCTCCAACAATTCACAGTCAGGTATTTAATGTTTGCAATGCTRGTTTTGTTTTCTGCAAACTACTAAATAAAACCCATATTGAAATTCTAAAATAGCCAGCCCTCAAAATATATATTTCTACATTCATTGCAGAAACAATAAATTAAAGCTCATATTGGAAGCCATTAAAGCAACAACATATTTAATAAAATTACCTTTTATTCCYAATAAGTAAACTACAGCAGAGACAGCTTACCTTTCTGAACCATATAGTGCAAAATCTGCTCGAGTAAAGAAGCTACATAGTTAGCATCTGGAATAATAGGAAGATAGGTTTTCTCTGTAGAAAAGATTTCTAGCATGCGCATGGGAACTGCAACATTTAAACTTTCGTCCGTGCAGCTCTGCAGGAGCCTGGGAAGAAGAGACAACAAGTGAGTTAATGTTGGCTTATTCTTCTTTAAATAATAATCCTAACAACTTACTGTGTGTTTACACCAATATTCACTTAAAGAACCATACCTGCAACAGAAGCCCAAGATTCTTTTGATCTGAAACATACACGTTTGYCTCTGCGGGCCAACTAACAGCTTCACAAACTGACTGTTGTGCTTCACCAGGTTCTGGCATAACCATACCTGCAGAAATACAAAGAAACTGTTTTAGGAACTACACATGTAACAACAGGTTAGAAGAGCATGTTTGAAACCAACAGTGCCACGTGATTTTGCATTCTTACCAATCTATGCGCATCCACATTTTGTCTATAAAAAAATATAAGCTGTCTTGATAAGAGGCAAAGAGCAGCACCATCCATGACATGCTGAGCTCCTGCTGCTTGTGACTGGCTGGCACACTCATCAAACTTAGCCCTCTGAGTGGCATACTGTTGAAACAAAGAGGGAACCAAAAAAGTAAATTAAAAAAAATCAATAATGATAATTTAAGAGGATGCTCCACTCCTCAAACAACATGCTAAATGCAAATATTAAAAAACAAATCAGATACAAACTTGTTCATCCTTCCATCCAGWAGGAGAATATCAACTAGATTTCCTACTTTTTCAGAGTTACAAGTGACCAACAACAACAAAACAAATTTTAAGCATCTGCTCATCCATGAGCAGAGATTTTAAGACTTACCTCTCTCCAGCTACATTCCTCATTTCATCTCAGGAGAYACCAAGGAACTCTAGAGACATGCTGGTGACAGTATCTACAGTGAGTTCTGAGTCCATCCTGAAGCCTCCTCCATCAYGACTAGATGCTCAAACTATTTGAACTCAAAGCAAAAACTCTACTCTGAGCTGCTATTAAGAGACTGAAACCTTCTGTCCATATGAGTAGAAACAAATAYAGACACACCTGTTGTTTTAAGTCCTGGTAGCCACGTACGTAGGACTGAATGATGATGGCATTCTTCAGTCGTTTTCTTTCATCCTAAACCATTCAAAAGCATATTTTAGGAATAAATGAAACAGTGATTGGACCAAAGCACCAATATTTTAGTGTTTTGAAACTCATCAGACAGAACTAATAACTATACACAATTGTCACAATCGGAATATAGCTAGTAGGTCAGTAACAATAGCCTAGAAAATATAGTATAAAATAAACTGCATCCTATTAGCCATAATACATTTTATTCTGGATGTACAATATTAGTACAGTCATTTATCAACTTTTTGCAACAAAATACATTAAAATCTTTTTATATGATAACTGCTTTGTTTAAGAGCAGCCTCATCAGTAGTTCTTTCATAATATCACACATACATTTACAGGGACATTACCTCTCGTTTTCGTCTTTCTTCTTGAGTCCGATGCAACAAAGATGCTTTCTCCTCCTGAAGAGTAACACACAAGACAATTAAAAGATGCAGAAAATAATGTGCTTTGTAACTCCTGTATGGATTGTTGAAGAACTCGACTGATTATAACAGTAATGATCTCATGACATTTACCTTTTTACTTGCCCCTCCCAGTGAGACCTTGGGTCTTGTTTTGAAATCTCCCTCAAAGCTGAACATTGTTAGATTTTTCCCATCGATTGATTCAGCAGTTTTCACCGATTTCTAAACAGAAAATGAAACAACGTTGCAATACTTTAGTCATACCGAAATTACACAAAAAACAGCCCAAGAAAGCGTGACTTTGCTCTAATTTTAAAACACACTCAGCTTGTTAAATTAATGAAGATTGAACTGTTACTTTGGGGTTCATGGGGCAACTGGAAAAGTAAGCTGTTAAATACCTAGTCAGACCTATGGTCTTCTTAGTTTTGGCTGCAACAATAGTTAGCATGACTCAGCAGCTGTCAGTGTTATGTAAGGGGTTTTAATGCTTTCCGATGCCAGATAACAAAGAGGATACAGATATACTGAACAGTGTATAAAAATAAGTGACAGCACGGATCTTTTTTACGTGAATTTTGGTTCGATTTTCTTTACGTTAGCACTGCTGCTAACTAGCCACCGGCTAAGGACTCAAACAGGCTAACTTTACATTTATTCATACCGCACGTCTTGACAGAATTTATTTTACAAGACAAACTCTTAAAGTCATACACCAACAATGAACTGTTTACCTTTGACTTTTGAACGAAGGAGTGAAACACAAATACTGACACAGAGAAGGTTCATGAGGTAAACCCAAACGTCAAGTCCTTTCCTCCTGTCTGGAAACACAACACWGTTAGCTACATCCGGTTCCTGCTCACGCCTGGTCGCTGATTGGACAGAATTTATGTCAATCTTACCTGACCCGCCTTTTAACTCGAGCCATGAGAAGCATCTATTTGTGTGTGAGTATTTGAATTACTACTTTTATGGGGACGTATCATATTCTACCTTCACCTTRTGTTTACCTCTCTTCTGCAAAATAAAACCTGTAAAGAATCTTAAAACCTTCTTAATAACACAACTTTAACTTTACTGGTTTATAATTATGTTTTTAAAAGTTTGGATGAAATAAAAGAACAAATTTCAATTACAAAACAAATACACTTTTTTGGATTCCTTTCTATATTTTTCTCTAATATGTTGAAAATTTTTAACTTTTCTATAGATTTGGAAACTAACTGCACTGTAAAGCTGCACATAGTGAGAAATAAGCTAACAAAATATTAGATTAACATTAAAATTGCATTTAAAATATATTAATTTGTATAGATTTTTTAAATTGGAATGATGGGGTCTGGTGTTTGTATTTATAATATTCTGCATGTCTACAAATGTCTGTCACAAATCTGAGTTTTCTCAGGCAGTTATTATTGAAATGTGCAGCGAAAATTCCCTGAATTTATATGGATGTGAAAACTGCTAAATGAACTGTTGTCAGTTTTATTATGTCAGTTTGGTTGTTAGCTTTTTGTATATGAATGCATTTTTATTATTTATTTGTTCCTTGTTGTTTTTCTGTACAGTATGTTTTGTATTCTTTTAGTTTCCCTGTGTCATCATTTAATTTCTCCTAAATGCCCACTTCCACTTGTCTCCAGTTGTCATTATACCAGGTGTTCCCATCTCTGTACAGATATTCAGTTCTCACACCGTCCTGTCAAGTATTGTTATGCGTTATCCTTGGTTCACATAATTTTTTGCTGCCAAGTCATTCTTTTGTTTTAAACTAAAAGGTGAATTTCATTCTCTATTTCTGAATGCTTATCTTTCTGAAATGAACTCATATTAATGTTCTTTATTAATATTGTTCCTTTTAATTTACTATAGTTTTCTAAGAATGCAAGGATGGCAGACAATTGGATATTGGACACACAATTGCTTTACTTATAGCTCGCTAAGAAGCCTGATGTCCTTGTAATTGCTTCAAAGTGATATTGAGCAGTGTGCTTGTTGGGACATTGCTTTCTCACTCAGTTTCAGCTAAATGGAACATGCATGACATTGTCTGAACTGTGGTTCAAAGAAATGACCAACAGCAGCGTCCCTTCAAGACGTTTTCACCCACAGATGCGTAATCAGAACTAATGAATATAAGAATGACCCCGGACCATTCAGTCCACCCCCTCCCMATAGGCAGAACGTTGTGAGCCTCAAAACCTGGACGTGGGTGTCAGTGAGAATGGGTTGGGGTGTCAGATATCTTCCTTGAAGCTGCAATGCTCGTGAAAACATTTTCCTGAGAAATCGTCCCCACCAAGTAGCAGACACACGGCCACACACACACACACACACACACACACACACACACACA